CTAACCGCACCATTTACAAGCGTAAACATGTACCTGCTAAAGACCTGCTGTGACATCCCAGGCCCGCCCCTTTCAAGAGGAATTCTCTAGTTCCCAATAGTCATCAAAGTTTTCGCAGGCGAAAGATGCTTCTTTCTAGGGTCAACATTTATAACATGAAGATGACACAGAAAACGTATAAATGCAAGGACACACAAAATATGGAATTTACCATTCATCTTATTTAATACCAGGGGTGATACAAGGGTGAGTTCGCACTCGAGGAGACTATCTACAGTAGCTACTCCAACCCGAACTATCCACATGGACCCACCAACCATATCAAAATCAAAAGCTATCACCCAAACACACAACTATATCCCTAAAAAGTGTCAGTCGTGTCTTTCCAAAAATGGTTCCTTGCCACTCCTCGATACGGGCCTCACACGACCTCGGTACTAGCATCGTCGTCCTCTTCATCCTGCCTCGGGTGTAGGAGAGGTCCCACGAGCCATCCTCCAACACGAACATAGACGGCTACAAACCCCAAAAGTATGGGTCCCACTAGGGACCCAATATGTAAGGACCTCGGCCCCACCACGCTTCCGCTGCGCCACTCCTTGTGTAATATTGTCCGCTTTGGACACTAAGTCCTCACGGTTTTAAAACGCGTTACACAAGGGTTAGGGGCCAAACCTTATAAACTCACTAAGGTCTCACTCCCTAAGCAATGTGGGACAAGAGCAATGCAATCCCCTCGCCATCAGCGAAATCTGCCGGGAGCCGCTCCTTGTCCGAGCCCTCTCTGGCTCCGGCGATCACTCCTTGCTCTCATCGGACCAGGTCGTTACATCCTCCCCTCCTTCGAGCATAGCGTCCTCGCTATGGTCCCATATGCGGTCGGGAGTTGGCTCTGATACCATTTGTAAGGACATCGGCCCCACCACGCTTCCGCTGCGCCACTCCTTGTGTAATATTGTCCGCTTTGGACACTAAGTCCTCACGGTTTTAAAACGCGTTACACAAGGGTTAGGGGCCAAGCCTTATAAACTCACCAAGATCTTACTCCCTAAGCAATGTGGGACAAGAGCAATGCAATCCCCTCGCCATCCGCGAAATCTGCCAGGAGCCGCTCCTTGTCCGAGCCCTCTCTGGCTCCGGCGATCACTCCCTGCCCTCGTCGGACCGGGTCGTTACATTCTCCCCTCCTTCGAGCATAGCGTCCTCGTTATGGTCCCACATGCGGTTGGGAGTTGGATCCGATACCATTTGTAAGGACCTCGGCCCCACCACGCTTTCTCTGCGCCACTCCTTGTGTAATATTGTCCGCTTTGGACACTAAGTCCTCACGGTTTTAAAACGCGTTACACAAGGGTTAGGGGCCTAGCCTTATAAACTCACCAAGATCTCACTCTCTAAGCAATGTGGGACAAGAGCAATGCAATCCCCTCGCCATCCGCGAAATCTGCCGGGAGCCGCTCCTTGTCCGAGCCCTCTCTGGCTTCGGTGATCACTCCCTGCCCTCGTCGGACCGGGTCGTTACATTCTCCCCTCTTTCGAGCATAGCGTCCTTGCTATGGTCCCACATGCGGTCGGGAGTTGGCTCTGATACCATTTGTAAGGACCTCGGCCCCACCACGCTTCCGCTGCGCCACTCCTTATGTAATATTGTCCGCTTTAGACACTAAGTCCTCACGGTTTTAAAACGCGTTACACAAGGGTTAGGGGCCAAGCCTTATAAACTCATCACGATCTCACTCCCTAAGCAATGTGGGACAAGAGCAATGCAATCCCCTCGCCATCCGCAAAATCTGCCGGGAGCCGCTCCTTGTCCGAGCCCTCTCTGGCTCCGGCGATCACTCCCTGCCCTCGTCGGACCGGGTCGTTACATTATGTAACGACCCGGATTTCGCGGATGGCGAGGGGATTGCATTGCTCTTGTCCCACATTGCTTAGGGAGTGAGATCTTGGTGAGTTTATAAGGCTTGGCCCCTAACCCTTGTGTAACGCGTTTTAAAACCGTGAGGACTTAGTGTCCAAAGCGGACAATATTACACAAGGAGTGGCGCAGTGGAAGCGTGGTGGGGCCGAGGTCCATACAAATGGTATCAGAGCCAACTCCCGACCGCATGTGGGACCATAGCGAGGACGCTATACTCGAGGAGGGGAGAATGTAACGACCCGAATTTCGCGGATGGCGAGGGGATTGCATTGCTCTTGTCCCACATTGCTTAGGGAGTGAGATCTTGGTGAGTTTATAAGGCTTGGCCCCTAACCCTTGTGTAACACGTTTTAAAACCGTGAGGACTTAGTGTCCAAAGCGGACAATATTACACAAGGAGTGGCGCAGCGGAAGCGTGGTGGGGCCGAGGTCCTTACAAAAATGTGACGACCCGGTCCGACGAGGGCAGGGAGTGATCGCCGGAGCCAGAGAGGGCTCAGACAAGGAGCGACTCCCGACAGATTTCGCGGATGGCGAGGGGATTGCATTGCTCTTGTCCCACATTGCTTAGGGAGTGAGATCTTGGTGAGTTTATAAGGCTTGGCCCCTAACCCTTGTGTAACGCGTTTTAAAACCGTGAGGACTTAGTGTCCAAAGCGGATAATATTATACAAGTAGTGGCGCAGCGGAAGCGTGATGGGGCCGAGGTCCTTACAAATGGTATCAGAGCCAACTCCTGACCGCATGTGTGACCATAGCGAGGACGCTATGCTCAAAGGAGGGGAGAATGTAACGACCCGGTCTGACGAGAGCAGGGAGTGATCGCTGGAGCCAGAGAGAGCTCGGACAAGGAGCGACTCCCGGCAGATTTTGCGGATGGCGAGGGGATTGCATTGCTCTTGTCCCACATTGCTTGGGGAGTGAGATCTTGGTGAGTTTATAAGGCTTGGCTCCTAACCCTTGTGTAACGCGTTTTAAAACTGTGAGGACTTAGTGTCCAAAGCGGACAATATTACACAAGGAGTGGCGCAGCGGAAGCGTGGTGGGGCCGAGGTCCTTACATAATGTCAAGCATATCAACATGATCAATCCAATTGACAACTAAACCAACCAATAAGCTAGCCATAGCATGCATAGACTGCTCTCTCTCTCTCTGCTACTAATCAACAGGCATAAAGATGGTCAATCAATGAATAGACAATATCATGAGCACACATTGCATACATTATGTGTCATTAATCAACTTTAATCTCCACTCCAAGGCACATGTCCAGTGTGCTTGCCAGCCATGCAAGGAGAAACATCCCGTCTAGTAATATCCGGTGTGCCCTCTGGTCTATCGCAGTATACGCCGGTATTCTCATCGGCCCGCACGGGCTTCGTAGTCCACTGACCACGGCATCCCGATCAAACTCCCGGGGCATCTAGGGCATGGCTCCTCCTAGGCATCACAGTCCACTGACCACGGCATCTCGCATTCCCTACGGCTCCTCGGGGCATCGCGTATGTAGACCGACAGCATCAATCATTTCTTAGTCACACATTCACAAGCACAAACGATCTTTTCATTTATCACATGCATAGCTCACATTGAACTTACAACTTACCGTGCACTCTTTGGCTTCCAAGTCAATTCATGAGTATCAATTCTACGGTTTCTTACCATTTCTAACTCTCGACTATGGATTCCTTACTCTACGACACCTAATCTTCCTAAATTCTAATCCATGATTTTCCGAATACCTAATACAACCACAGAAGCTTACAACCAATCCGCAACATGAAACCCTCGGCCCAAGATTGAGCGGGATATCCGATTATCCCACCAGTCGGTGATCAGCTTCTCGATCGCGCTGCTCTTTCGCGGCCAATGTCGCCGTCCGCGCTGGGGCCCTCGGCTCATCTCGCCGATCAGATCGGGACCCCCAGCCGGCCATTTGGCTTGCCCAAGACACACATTTACTTCCCATCCTTGCCACGGCACCTTAACGATCAACAACCTCGCCGACATACTTGGGAAATACATAATTTCGTGGGCTCTCGATCATGACTCCACTTTAGATGGGCACAATCAATAACTTCCCTACAACGTCCAGCAATCACATTTCCTAATCCGAGATCCAAACTCGACATGCAAGCATTATGATGGTTAGTATAGGGTGAGAGTATTCACTTGCCTCGACGGCGAGTGTGGCGGCGTGGCGTGCGAGCCCTTGGCGGAGAGAGAGGGCATAGTGCAACTATTTCCTGGCTCGCGGTGGCTGCTGCTGCTGGTGGTGCGGGGAAAACGGGTCGGCGGGCCGGCGAAGCTTCCAACGGAGAGGGCGGCGTGGCAGTGGAGGGTCGTTGGGTCGACGGCCTCGGCTTCCAATCGGGGCAGAGCAGGTGGCGGAAGAAGAAAGAAAGAAGAAGAGGGCTGGCGAAGGCGGCAACAGTGGCTGGGCGGAGAGGACAAGGCTGTTGTCGGGAGTGGCGTCGCACGGCAGACGGCTTTCGCGGCTGTTCGAGCTACTGCTAGTGAGGGACCGGTGGAGAGAGAGAGAGAGAGAGAGAGAGAGAGAGAGAGAGAGAGAGAGAGAGAGCTGGCGGGGAAGAGAGGGGGAAATGAGAGGGAGGAGAGAGAGTCAAGGGCTTTTCCCCTTCCTTGCATGCAAGGCCATTGGCCGAGTGGAGACAGGCGCCACTTGGTGCTTCTCCTCCACCAAGTTGCGGAGGAGAAAAAGAAGAAGAAAAAGAGAAGAAAGAAGGGGGCGGTGGAGCTGGCGGTGAGAAGGAGGAGAGAAATGGAGGGAAAATGAAAGCTTGGGTGATGCGACAAAGAGTAGGGTCGCGTGGTGACGTGGTGTCGGAAATAGTCGATGTGGTGGCAAATGATTCTAAGAAACACGGCACATTCTCTCATAGACGACAATGGTGACAATTTCCAAATTTTTCTGTCGACGAATGCCTTAATTATTTAGGATCCTTTTGTTCCTCTAATTATATGTAGGTTCAGGATGTCACACATACACTCATCCAACTTATCGGTCCGAATCCACTTAACTTGTGTTCTCACTACCATGATTATCCACATAACAATTTTGCATTCTTGCATGTGCCGATACCGAAGGTGAAACAGGGCGATTCTCAGTACTCTGATCCTTTGAAGTTTGTCCACAAAGGTCGTGAGGTGATCAAGAGGAAACGGAGCTCCTTCGGTGTAGTCCTCACAGGGAAGCTACTTGAGATCATGAAAAAATGTAGAAACGCAGAGGTAGGTGCATGTCGCGACAATTAATGAATCAGAAATGCTAAATATGTTAAGTCTGATTCACAAAATTGATATGAATGCACTCTTGTTTGCTTGAACTTGCAGGTAGTAGCAAAGCACATCAGCAGGACATTGAGAAACTCAAGCATGGTCATCTCCAACGTTATGGGGCCAATGGAGAAATTGTCTCTGGGTAATCATCCTGTTAAAGGCTTGTACTACACAGTCGCCGGCACACCTGAGGTATATTTCTAGTTATCATTAATTTTGATTTCGACCCAAGAGCATAAAATTACCAACGCTTGATTGGTGGGTCTAAAGTTTTGGTACTGAGCCTCATTTTCCAAGTCGTTACATGCATCTTCTTATGAAATATTGATATAGATTGCAACTTTTGAGACATCTACGGATCTAAGCACAAACTTTTCTACATGATATCGTAATACATTTTATGCAACAGTTACTCTCCTATGCCATCCGCAAGAAGTCGACGGGATGTCGAATTCGAGAATCGATGTCTTATTTACCATAACACATAATCAGATTGTGAGCGGCCTTCTTCTCCATAAACGATAACGTGATGAACACATGAAATCTATACTTGTGATTAACTTTTGCAGAGTCTCAGCGTAACGATCTTCAGCTATGCGGGAAATCTGAGAGTAGCTGTGCAAGCTGAGCAAGGCTTCATAGACTCCGAGCTCTACACCCGCTCGCTGCACACCCGCTCGCTGCTTGATGCTTTTGACATGATCTTTCACGATGCATGTGGGAAGCAGTAGAAGCCATTCCCATTCCTATTATTCCACTGTGCAACGCCTTCTATGAAACCCTAATTCTATTTCCCTTGTTTTTGGCAATGATATTGTTCAAGTGGATGAATCGAGAAATCGAGTCTTGGGGAGCCAAACTAATCCCAAAACGAGGTCTCAAGTTAAAAATTTAACGCGTGACTTGTTATCGCTATTCCTGTTAATGTCATGCAGCTTTTTTTTTCCCTCTTTTCGCAAACTAACGTTGACGCTTGCTCTCAAAACTGAAGAAGAAGATCCTGATGAAGTAAAATTGCGGTTTGGTCGAACCAGTTTCAATATGGGTAGATCTAGAACTGAACACAGAAAGAACGTAATATGCTGACATTTCGTGGTCTTCTTAACCAGCTTCTATAACAGCAGATCATTGATTTTGTCTGATAAAAGAAGGTCGATAATAATCGCTAGTGTATAAACCAAGGAAATATAATTTGAACAAATCGCTATATGACGAGATATGTTTAACTTTGAATTTAGAATATGAAATACCCTACAAGGATTGAAATCTAATCCCTTGTCTAATCAAACTCTGGTTTAATGAAAATCAAATTGTGAATGATAATAAAGATAACTAGGGCTGAGCCGATCAAATTATTCACATTAAAGTTAATTGCGGGGAAATTATAAACGTAACTTATCTTTTACGTTGTTTTTTTTTTGGTAACCGATGATCCGCCACCATTCCCCGGGGACGAGCTCGCACAGGTAATCGGGGCACCTATACCTCGGGGGAGACTAGCCCAGCAACCCACCGCCAGGGCCCCCCACTTAAATTACGGAACCAAGCGGGGATTCGAACCCAGAACCCCTAAGGAGGGAAGGAAAGCACCCACCAACTCGGCCATGCGCAGGTGGGTATCTTTTACGTTGTTTATTTATGTAAAAAATAAGTTTTGTCATCTTATTGGAAGAAAAAATATCGAAATTAGAATTGAACTAGCAAAAGAATAATAACGTTATAGCTATTGTAAACATAAAAGAGATAATCACCGCTGCTAAAAAACGAATAGCTCGAGAGAAAATACTAAAAGAGATAATACATATCTTTCTAGATGTTAATGTTGTGTGACTTGACTTATGAGCAACGATTAGAGGGAAAAGGTGTTAATTTTGGTAATCTATCTTTTGGCCATGATGTTGGATTAGTATTAAAGACAAGAAATGTAATCTACAGAAACAAATATTATCCTGCCCCTACAAATAATTGGCTGCAATAAAGGTTTGTCACTAAACCTCTTTCTCATTTTTTAATTGATTTGAGTCGGGAACGGAGGCGAATTTAGGTGCCATGTGGTTACATTTACTATTGTTTTCATTCATAATGATTAAAATCGTAGACACCGAGTCGTGCACTCGCCTCGTTGCTCGATGCTTTTGACATGATTTTTCACGATGCACGAGGGAAGCCATAGAAGCCGCGTGTCGATTAGTATTATATACAATGCGACGCCTTAGGATCAAGCCCTGCCTTTTCTTTTCCAAGCAATTCCTCTGCAATTTATTTCACGAGCTTTTCAATTTTATATGGTCCCTTTTTCTGTATTCTTCATGTTTATCCCTCATTTGTTTTGGGTATTTTCACAAGAAAATCATAGGCGGCAAATACTTCACCAGGGAAAAGCTATTGGCCCCTTGATCAAGTGAGTCCTAATTAGAATCATACATACACGACCTTAGTAACACCTCTCCTATGATTTTCTGAATGTTTTCGTAGGATTTGGTTCTTCGGTTATATATATGTCATTGTCAGGTTTCACGACGCCGACAACTAGATGGAAAATTTCATGCAAACCAATCATGGTGTTTGGTTATCTTTAACTCCAGTCCTTTTTACGCTACAACCAAAACGAAGAAATAACATAAAAGGAAGACTATAATTACCCGACTTTCGTAATTTAAATCCCGAAAGAATCAACTCATCGCATGAATTGTCTCTTTCCCACAACAACACGGAGAAAAAAAACAGAACAGGGAAAGGGGTCCCGCAACATGTGCACAGCAATTAATATCATGTTCAATGAAAAGGTCCACTCTTTTTCATGCTCCTCTAACATGCCCCCAACTCATGCATCGTCCTAACATGGAGAGAAGAACAGCAGAAGTGCCAAAACTTGTGTATGGCGCTCACTTTAGTGCCAAAAGTTTCTTTTGGATCACTTTAGTGCCAAAATTTTTGAAAAACGATCACTTAAGTGCCAACTCCGATCAATTTGGCCGGAAATCCGACGTGGCATTTTTTTATTAATTTTTTAAGTCGATGTGGCTTGCCGGAGGTTGAGTCAGCATGCTCAGTCAGCATGTACACATCAAAACGACGTAGTTTAGCATGTACACGTGGATTTTTTAAATATTTTTTATGATTTTTTTTTCCTTCTTTTTTTTTTCTTTTTCTTTCTTCTTCTTCTTCTACCTGGGGTCACCGCCGGTGACCGGAGGCCGGCCACGGCCGACCGCTTGGCCTCAGCGACGGCGAGGCCGGTCGAGGCTTGACCTCGCCGGATCTGGGCGAGGTTGAGCCTCGACCGGCCATGGCGAGGCCGACCTCGCCGTTGCTGAGGCCAGGCGACGGCGAGGTCGGCCTCGCCATGGCCGGGTGAGGCTCGACCTCGCCATGGCCGGGCGAAGCTCCACCTTGCCTAGATCGGCGACGGCGAGGCCGGCTCGCCGTGGCCGGTCGAGGCTCGACCTCGCCGGATCCGGGCGAGGTCGAGCCTCGCCCGGCCATGGCGAGGCCGTCCTCGCCGTCTTGGGTTTCACGACGGCGAGGCCGACCTCGCCGTGGCCGAGGCGAGGCTCGGCCGGCCACGGCGAGGCCGACCTCGCCGGATCCGGACGAGGTCGAGCCTCGGCCACCGGCCACGGCGAGGCCGACCTCGCCGTCGTTGGGTTTCGCAACGGCGAGGCCGGCCTCGCCGTGGCCGGGCGAGGCTTGACCTTGCCGGATCAGCCGACCACGGCGAGGCCGGCCACACCGTCGGCCGGGTTTCGCGACGGCGTGGCTGGCCTCGCCGTGGCCTCGGTCAAGGCTCAACCTCGCCGGATCCGAGCGAGGTCGAGCCTCGCCCGACCACGGCGAGGCCGACCTCGCCGTCACCGGGTTTCGCGACGGAGTGGCCGGCTCGCCCGGCCACGCCGTCGCGAAACCCGGCGGCGGCGTGGCCGGCGAGGCTCGACCTCGCCCAGATCCGGCGAGGTCGAGCCTCGCCCGGCCACGGCGAGGCCGGCCTCACCGTCGCGAAATCCGGCGACAGGCGAGGCTCGACCTCGCCTGATCCGACGAGGTCGAGCCTCAACCCGGCCTCGCCGTCGCGAAACCCGGCCGACGGCGAGGTCGGCCTCGCCATGGCCGGTCGAGGCTCGACCTCGCCCGGATCCGGCGAGGTCGAGCCTCGCCCGGCCACGGCGACGCCAACCTCGCCGTCGCGAAACCCAGCGACGACGAGGTCGGCCTCGCCATGGCCGGGCGAAGGTCGACCTCGCCCAGATCCGGAGAGGTTGAGCCTCGCCAGGCCACGGCGAGGATGGCCTCGCCGTCGTGAAACCTAGCGACGGCGAGGTCGGCCTCGCCATGGCCGGGCGAGGCTCGACCTCGCCCAGATCCGGTGAGGTCGAGCCTCGACCGGCCACGGCGAGGCTGGCCTCGCCATCGCGAAACCCAGCGACGACGAGGTCGGCCCCGCCATGGCCGGTCGAGGCTCGACCTCGCCCAGATCCGACGAGGTAGAGCCTTGCCGGCCACGGCGAGGCCGGCCTTGCCGTCGTGAAACCTGGGCCGACGCCGAGGCCGGCCTCGCCATGGCCGGGCGAGGTCGACCTCGCCAGATCCGGCGAGGTCGAGCCTCGCCTCGGCCACGGCAAGGCCGGCCTCGCCGTCGTGAAACCCGGCGACGGCGAGGTCGGCCTCGCTATGGCCGGGCGAGGTCGAGCCTCGACCGGCCACGGCGAGGCCGGCCTCGCCAGATCCGGGCGAGGTCGAGCCTCGCCGGATCTGGGCGAGGTCGAGCCTCGCCCGGCGATGGCGAGGCCGGCCTCGCCGTCGCGAAACCCGGCCGACGGCGAGGTCGGCCTCGCCATGGCCGGTCGAGGCTCGACCTCGCCCGGGCCGTGGCCGGTGGCCGGCCTCCGGTCACCGGCGGTGACCCAAGGTAGAAGAAGAAAGAAAAAGAAAAAAGAAAAGAAGGAAAAAAAATTCATAAAAAATATGTAAAAAATCGAAATACACACGTGGAAATACCACGTAGACCAATTTTTTTAAAAAAAATTCCAACTCGGATTAAAATTTTAATTATAAAAGCCACGTATTAATTTGGCCGAAATTTCTCGCCGTTGGCGCTTAAGTGATCGTTTTTCCTCCGATTTGGCACTTAAGTGAGTCGGCGAAAACTTTTGGCACTAAAGTGAGCGCCATACACAAGTTTTGGTACTTCTAGTGTTCTTCTCCCTCCTAACATGTGATTTTAGTTGCAGAATCTAACCCAACCCAACCACTCTCTCTCTCATCAAGCTTTTGGTCAGTCTTCTTTTCTAACATATGAAAAATGGGCAACTTATTGGCTGCCATGCATCATAATCCAATGATCCACCTAATACATGTTGCACAGGCAGGTTTGGAGAATCATCTCAAAAGGACCAGGGCATGATACTTTTCACAGCGGAAAGCTCAACGAGTACATGAGAGAAGGAAAATCAATGTGATCGTTCATAAGGAAAAGGAAGAGAGGGAAAGTTTTCTCAACCCATTACTACATTCAAGTGAAAGCAGTCACTTTCTTTTTTGTACAATGTAAAAGAAATATCATACACATACCTACCTTCCTCTTCTCAACTTGGTTTAACCTCTTTACTTGACCACCGTAAAATCATCTGAACAAGCAAAGATATAAAAGAACGAATGAGAGAGGAAAAAGAATAACAGATCAAAGAACATAAACCTAAATAAGTAGCTTCTATGCACTCAGCTTGAGCAGTATAAATCATCAGAAGGCTGTAAGAAGACCAATTAACTGAAATATATATGACAGAAGCACAATTACTCCTCGGTAAGACACTGTTTTGTTCCCCTCACTAGCAATCCATGGAATCGAATGTGTCGGCAAAGCATGCTGATTTTGGAGGGATGCTTGCATGGGATCGGGAGAAGGACGTATCGTTAAACATTGTGGAA